GCCCCGCCAGCTGTGCTTGCCCAAGTGGTGGTAGTATCTGCACCCTGCCCCTGGTTCTTCCCGCTTGGCCGTGGAGGGACACAGGCACACAGCCCCCGCCAGAATGGTACCAGCATTAATTTATTAAAATTAATCCCGAAAAGTAACCGTACAATAAATTTAAAAAAAATAGAATCTTGTAAAAAAAAAAACCCAGGTGCCCCCATGCCACGCCTCCAGCTGGCAGCACCGTGGGGCAGGGCTGGTGGGGAAAGGGTGGGAGATGAGGACAGCCTCAGCAGAGCTCTGCCAGCCTCAGCAGCAGGGCTGCAGGAGGACCAGAAAAGCTGCCGAGGTGCAACCCCGCGGGGCAGGGCCAGGCACAGTAGTGCAAGGCTGGCAGAGGGGCTGGCGAAGGGGCGGCACAGGGTTGGTTGGCCTGACCAATCCTGGTGGGTCCAGTGCTGGGGAACCTGCCCGGGCCCAGCCCAGCTGGGGCCCCGGCTGGCTGGGGACCTGGCCTGGCCAGAGTGGGGCCCGGAGCCCTTCCTACGTGCCTGCTGGCTGGTGCCAACCCTTATCCCAGGCTGCTGTCGGGGGCAGGGGAGGTGGATGGCATGGTGCCCTGGCTGGTGTTGGAGGGTGCACGTACCCAGTCTCACTGGCCTCACCATCACGGGTCCTGGCCCAGAGGGAGCGGTGTGGGTGTGTTATCTCCTACTGCAGAGCAGGCATGGGCTGGGCCGCAGAAGAGAGGGGATAAGAGCATCTCTGTCTCTGTCTCCCTGTTTCCTCCTGCAACCCTCTGCAGCTCCATCCCAGGGCTGCCCCCAGGTCTCACACGTTCTTTGAGTAGCCAAAGATTCCCACAGGGAGGTACTTGACGTGCGTTGGCCACTGTGCTGCCAGCTGGAAAAACTTCACATCGTTCCACTCCACCCCGTCTATGGAAACTGAGAGAGGGCGCAGTGAGGCGCGGCCCCATCGCGGGCACCCCGCGCTGCTTGCTCTGCCCCCCGCCAGCCTCACGGGGGCTGCACCTCCCCTCACCTCGCAACATGGTGTTCTGGTGCTTGGCTGTGCAGATGAGGCGTGTGATCCCTTCAATGACTTGGCTTTTGGGCTCCAGGTCCTTCTCTTTTGGTTTCTTGCTCAGGAACATCACTGGGGGGTGCAGAGGATAGACAGGACCAACATTAGGATGTCCCTACCTGGTCCTGGGTGGGAGCCCTCACCCCAGACCTTGCTGCACTGTCTGGCCCCTGCTGGGGCAGGTCTCAGCCCTACCCCTCCTGCCCTTTTTGCAACAGACTGTGACCCCATAGCCAGAGAGCACCCCAGAGTGGGCTTGATTACCTTTCTTGTTCTTCTCCTTGGTGACCACAGTCATGGCCATGGTGTTAGGGGGCACCAGCTCCCCTGTGCCAGGGATGCGGCTGACCTGGAGTGAGCGGAAGTTGCTCTTGAGCGTGTTCTTCATACCGGTCTCCCGCTTCTCGCCCTCCTTCTTCCTGTCCAGCCCTTGTGTTGTCCAGTAGTCCACCTGCAGGCCCATCACCTCCACGCCAGGGCTCAGAGACCTGGGCAAGACGGGCAGCACCATGCAGCACCCAGCTGCCATCCTTGCTGCTCTTCCTCCCCGTAGCCCAGCCACAGCCTGCCCTGGCAGCATGCTGGCCCAACAGCCCCAGCACGTGGCTGCCTCGCCAGGGAGCACCTCAAACCCTCCCACCCCAGCACTCAGGACTCCAGGCTGAGTGTTGCTTCCTTACCCAGCACCTGAGAGGCCGCTGCTGACAGATGGGGAGGGTGGTGGGGTGCTCACGGTCTCCTTGCCATAGGGGGCCGCTCCGCTGGTGGCTGGCACAGAGGTCAGCAGGGACGGGGTGCAGACTGTGGCATCATCTGAGTCCACTGGGGAGGAAGAGTGTGGGTTGAGGGAGGGCTGGGGGACACTGACAAGGGCCTCCCCACAGTGGAGAAGGGAGTTGGGGACCGCAGGCTCCCAGGGACTCACCAGAGGCACTGAAGGACTGCTCCACCAGGCCTACCTTCACCACCTGTGAGGACAGAGGTCGGATGTTCCCCAGCGTCAGCAGGGCTGTGCGCTGCCCCTCTCGCCCCAGCCCCTGTTGCCCGACAGCCCCTCCACACACTCACCCCCACGAAGGGAATAAACTTCTGGCAGGAGTCCTCGTCGGGGCTGCGCAAGGAAGAGAGACTGGTGAGGGCCTGCGTCTGGGCGTGCTGAGCACCAAGTGCCGGGCGGCCCAGGGACCCCCACACTGGCAGAGGCCGACGCTGGCTCACGGCCACCGGGACTGTCTCCTCTGCCCTCCCTTCCC